TTTATTCTATTTAAACTATTACTGTTAATTATACAAAGAAATACACACCATTGGTTTTTCTTAACAGTTCCACCAGATACGAGGCTTCCTCTTGAATTCGGTCTTCAATAGTTTTCTTCCCCATCCCCATATTCCGCAAAACCATGAGGGAGAAACGCCGGGTGTGCTTCCACTTTTTTCCATTGCTGAAAACAATGCCTATCCAGGACAAAAGAGATAGAAAGATGATGATGATGATGAAATAGATAGATGATAGATAGATAGATAGATACTGTCCTTCATTGTCACAATTCTGAGATTACTCATCTCAAGAAATGATGCTGACCCTTTAGCAGGGAGACAAACATGGTGATGTCAACTTCAGGAATTTCCATTGAGCCCTCTTCTTACTTGCCTCATCCCTTAACCCAACCTAGAATTTTACTGTCAGGTTTTTTGACTTTATGCATCACTAAACTCTTCTTCACCCAATAAATGCTTAAATCTCAGAATAAGTCTAGACTGTTTTGTCCCCATTTACTGACAATGATATGGACAATCCTCCAGGCAAAATGCTGGCCCTGTGATCACACAGCAGCAAATCATGGTGAGTCCAACTCATAATGGTAAATTTTCAGAGCTGGCTTTTCTGAATGAGAGTCAATTTTTGGAGAAACAAGAAGAGGCAATTCTCAAGAGAAGGTAAGACAGCAATTCTGCTTTGGAAGGAATCTGCTAACAACCTATTTCTCATACAAGGTATACAGTCATTGACTGATAACTTCCCATTTTAACATCCCCCCCCACACACTTATTAAATCTCCCCATGCAATGTGGTGTTAGAGCCAAGGAGGTCTAGCACAGACCTCTAGGGTCACAAACAGATCAGGAGAAAAGTAAGTTCATGAGACACTAGCCAGAAAGTCTCTTAGAGATCATACAGAAGAAATGACCGCCCCATTCATGTTTTCTCTCTTTTTGTCAGCACCCAGTGATCTACCAGGAGTCTGGATAATTTAAGGTCAGCTCCAAAAACAAGTGGAAAATAGTTCAGTTACTTAATAAAAAATGCATTTTCTTATTTCAATTAAAATCTATGCTGCATATGTGTTTCTCCTTGGCCATCTTTTTTTTTTTTTTTTTTTTTTTTTTTTTTTTTGCCGTTTTTGGCTGTGGCTGGGTTTGAACCCACCACCTCCAGCATATGGGGCAAGTGCCCTACTCCTTTGAGCCATAGGTACTACCCCCAAAGAAAGTGGTTTCTTTTTTTTTGGCCAGGGGCTGGGTTTGAACCCACTACAGGTATATGGGGCTGGCGCCCTACCCCTTTGAGCCACAGGCACCGGCCTTTCCATGACCATCTTTTCAGGACATACTTTGCTTTGTGCTTTGTATTCTGTTGGGTTCCAGTATTTCCTATGCTTTTTCAGAATACAAGTTTGAAGGTGAGGCTGGAAATATCTCAACTGACTCACTATGACAGTTTCATGCATACTTCCTAAAATAATGTCTGGGGATCCATGACTTAGATCAAGAAGCAACATGTTTGTTGAATAGAATAATTTAGTCATTTTTCTTCTCTCTTTTGTTGTCTCTTTCTCACTATTTTACCTAGGAAGAATTTAAAATAAAGGTCTTAGTCACAAATTCAAAGATCATTAGCAGTTAGATGGTTTGCTTTTACTAAATTGAATGTTTCATGGGAATATTATATCATTGTTATAGATTTTTAAAATGAATTAATGATCTTTTATAGAAAAATCATTAATAGTCTTGTGTTGGAATTATATAAAGTGTGTCCGATAAATTTCTCCAGGTGTATATAATTTCTCAGTCTCTTAGCCTATTTGAAGTCTTTGCAACTTACAAACCCACAAACATTCTTCAAAGAGAAGCATACCTAATCCTTGGGTGATTTTTTCTACCACTGGAAAATTCCCTCTGTCAGAAAATTCTTCTGCCCGATCAATCAGGGCTTCCTTCACTGCTTTGAATCCGTGCAACACCACAGTGGGCTTCATCCCAAAATACACAGTGAACACAGGGCCATAATCTTTTGCTAGCTGGAAAAGAAACAGAAAATGGAAGAAAAGTGAGAATTTCTCACAGAAATATAGAATTTCTCAACAGAAATATAGATAAATGAGAGAAATGTTTTTAATTTCACTGAAGAGACATTTTAATATTCATCTATCTATTATAAAAGATTTCAACTTTTAGAACCAGTTATTTAATAAGAAAGTACATTATTTAAATTATAATTATCATCACATTGTTAGCAATATTGCTATAATTTGTTATCATCATCATCAATAATTATTCTTTTTTAGCCCCTATTGTGTGACAGGAGCTGTATTATATACCAATTATTTTGTTCCTATTATTTTATTAACTTTTTCTGCCAAACCAAAACTGTATCAAATTTTTCCTTCCTTCCTGCAGTTACAAAAACTGGTGTTTCTCCTCCTATTGAAGGAAAGCCCCTCCCACTCACCCCAGGTGGAGGCTAAGAATCATCTCTCATTATCCATTCTCCTTCTCTTGTTTTCAGCACCACACACCTCTACATTTTAATAATACCTGAGAACCTAGCAGCCTGATCATAGGCATTTCTCAGCTTCCCTTGAAGCTTAAAGTGTTAAGGCTGATGTTAGAAGAAGTGATGTGTGAAAATTCTACATTATTGGATAAAAGGTAACTGTTTGCCCTTCGTTTTCTTCCCCCTACTTATGGGTTGAAATGATAGCATGGACCACTGTGCTACCCACTGTGACCATGCAAAGGAGAACAATAGCCTAGAGTCACATGACAGTAGAACTATAAGACTGAGAAAAAGTATTTCTCTGAATTATCTCATAGAGGATAGTCTTGCTATCAGCTCCCACCTCTAAATTATTATGCAAGATAGAAATAAGTTTCTGTCTTCTTTTAGGCTTTGTGAGGCATATGGAGACAGGACTCAGTCTTCACTTCTAACCTAAGGAGGCAAGTGTTTATAATTTCTCAATTTATATGAGCAGTATGATCCAACCTAATTAATTGGAAAAGGATAAAACAAAAATGTCCTCCTGGCTGCTGGAATTCAGTCCATGTTCATAAAAGGAGGGAGTCCAACCATCTGCTTCTTGAGCAATGTTTTCCACAGCCACTGAAGCCAGGTGTTGACATCAGCTGATAAGGAACCTGCCTGCAAAGAATCCAGACCTATCCAAATCTAACGCTGAAGCCAAACAGGACCCCCACACTGACCTCACCCTGACCTTTCCTATGTTATAGTCTCATTTTAATGTTAGAAATCATGCCTGAAGTAGAGATTTAACATGCTAATGAGACATGCAATCCATGAAGAAACGTGTAATAAAACTATGCAGACACAAGAAAATCTCTACCTCTGTATGCTCGCATGTCACCCTTTTCCTAATTCTTTTTAAACCTCTCCATGAACTCCCCTTGGAAAGCCAGACTGATGATTTCTACTTTGTGCTACCTCCTTTGTGTTTGAACTTGACCTTCAGTAAAGCCTTGCTTGTGATTCCCTTTAGGCCTCTTATTAATTTCTATTTCATAGAGAGCCCACAGGCCAGCACTGATAACAATGGTATTGCTGGGATCTTCCTTTCAATTCAGCTTTTTTGGTATCCCAACTGACATAGGACTTAGGCTACTTAAATTTGTCTAATGTTAGACTCCTCTTGTCATCCTACACTTTGTTCTCCATAAGGCAACCAGAGTGCTCTTTTTACAAGGCAAATGCTAACACCATGATCTTTTAAGCCAGTTTATGGCATCACATTGCTATTATGCTAATCATAATAGTCCTAAAATCCTTGCAAGACCTGCATGCTCTGGCATTCAAACCATTCTTTAGATCTGAGCTCCAATTTTATTTCCTCAGAGAACCATTTCTGACTGTTCCTCCTACCTACCTCTCTGTCTCCCCAAGCTCCATGGCCTCCCTCTACCATGTTCTGTTACATAGATTGTAACCATATACTTACTTGCATGATCATTTCATAAATAAATCCTTCCCCTCTAGACTGTAGGCTCCATAATGAGAACGTCTTTTTAAATTTCATTCACCATTGAAAATCTCCTGCATACATCTAACATAGTGCCTAAAGCAAAGGTAGTATTTAATTGTTTCTTCCAAAGATGATATACTCAAGTACCCAGTGCAGAATCATTATTATTTACATCTCAAAAAATGAAAATTAAACCTCAGAGATATTTACAAATTGCCCAAAGCTGTGGATTAGCAAATGGATGAGCTGAGGTGATGACATAATCTTGGAATCCAAAGTAAAAGCCCAGGAAGAAGGAGCTCCCGGGGGCAGTGCTCTGGAACTATTTGGCTATCTTAGGGAAAAGACAGATTTTGATAATCCCTTCAGGTTTCAGAGGTACCTCTGTTTTCTTATTTCTGTCCCAACTGAGAAATACTGCATAACAAATAGCTACCATTATATGCTACCTATTTCTTAGCTCTACCTTGATCATATTTGCCAATAAAATATTCATACCTTTCCCTTTCGTTTAGTTTCCTCTCAGCTAAGTAGAAACATTAGTAGCCCTTATTGCTATTACTTTAATACACTAAAGGCCTATTCAGGAATACACCCCAACTCCTTTCTTACATCTTATCAAATTCAGTAACTCCTCACCACAAAACAGTTCTCCAGTATAAATACACAGGTTGTCAATCCTTGGTTTAGTACAATCCCTGAAGCCCTGTCATGAAACACTAGGCTTAACCTGTGAAACCTTTCTGGGGTCCTCTGTGCACCTCCAGGATACCTATTTGTTTGTGGAGGTTAAAAGGGAATCCCTGAGCTTATAAACACATGAATAGAATACAAGAGGAACTTAACTTGCCAATAGGGCTACTCAGTCATTCCTTATCCTACATATATATCTGCCAGAAACAAGCACTGGACCAGCTCCCTAACATGATTTTCTTGACTTAAAATATCCACATATTCACTTTAGGGATTTACAAACCAGTATGCCTGCGTACAGAGAAGATGGGGCTAGGTATTTCTTCACGTTGAAGAACTATACTCTCCATTTTGGTGGGGAGTGGCATCATGCAAACAATGATTAGAAATCTCTCCCTGACTTTACCAATCCCTGATAATTAAACAGTGTTGACACTGGCCACCCAACAGAAAAGTTGATTCATTGGCATAGGTCATTTTCTTAAAGAATAAAACTGCCCTTGACTGTATCTTGGCTGAGCAGGATAGAGTTTGTGCAATAGCAAATGCAACTTTGTGTGTGTGTGTGTGTGTGTGTGTGTGTGTGTATAAATGCCTTCACTGAAGTGGAAACTCCCTTTGATAAAAGCAAACAACAGGCCACTTGGCTTCACCAGATTCTTCCAGAAACCCCAGAATTATCTGATCGGTTCTTGGGACTTTAATCATAGGTACTTCAAGACTTTCAATCTCTTCTTTAAGGACTTTTAAAATTAAGACTTCTGGGGGGCAGAGGGAAGATGGCCAACTGGAGCCAGCTTTCCACAGACGCTCCCATCCAGAAGGAGAGTTAAAGGATAGAAGTTTAGCAAGTAAGCTGATGGTTTGGAGCTGAGCCAAGAGAGAAGGGTGAAGAACACACATCTACCCTGCTGAGGTGAGCTGTGACCCCAAGGAAATAAACAATAGGTACAAAATCCACCACCAAGCATATGGGAGTCGTCTCCCCCATGAGAACAGCTCAAAGTATACTTTATATGAACAAGTAAGCAGAGTTCAGATTTCCTCCTATTTTATCCCACAGGAGAAACCCTCTAAAAACCAGAACTCCTTCCTCAGAGAGGACCCACTAGTGTGCCATAGCATTCTTTCACCAGGCATAAAACTATATATTCTCTACCTGTAATTCTGAACTCCCAGCACTCCCCTCCACTCTCACCCTGAGGTCTAGAAGCCTGTCTCCCAATAAGTCCAGATTCTTAGGCATTTCCTCAAGAGGTGTGGACAAAGCATGGGCTGTTGCAGGTCTTTGCTGATTTTGTGGCACTGGTGTAAAGAGAGGACTGTGGACTGAGTGAGCCATACAGGAGAAGGAGAAGCCATGCCCCACAGCACAGAGCAACAGCAGCAGCAGTGGGAACAATAGAGCTCACACCCCTGGGGATATTTTGGAAAGACACTCCCCACCTCTCTTGGCAACCAGAGAAAGCCAGGTCTCTACTCTGGCATCAGCCACTGGTGGAAGATCTCAGACAGAAATGCAGGCTCTGTGAGTAAAATTTATGCCTAAGGTAGTACCTGCCTGGTCGGGGCTCGGCAGGGACAGAGACTAGAATAGGAGTGCAGAGAGATGGCATACTCACAGGGCGGGGCTGAGTCAGAAGTTCTGCTTTAGTGAGTCTAAGAAGCACCCGGCCCCCATGGGAACATAGCTAAGACAAAAGCAGGTGGAGCAACAGCACCAGCCCAGGGAGAAGCAGGAACAGAGAGTTGCACTCCTGCCCCAACACAGAGAGCAGCAGAGACAGAGACACCAGTTCCGTGAGAATTGGCACAACAGCAGCAGCACAGGGAGGGGCTGAGTCACACTTTCTGTGAACTCAAACAGTGCCTGGCCTGAAGGGGAATATAGCCAGGACATAAACAGAAATTCTGCATGAATATAAGTGGCAAGAACATCAGTCTGGGGTGAGGTTGGAACTGAGTGAATCACCCAGCTTCCATTAAGCACCTAAGGTTGTCAAGATTTAGCTCCCCATGCTGGCTATTGGCAGAGTGCTACAGTCTGACTGAGGACACATAGGTCTGTTGGTTTAAGGTTTTAAAAGGAAATGGAGAGAGCTTTGCCTCAAGTGTTAGTCCGCGCCTAAAATTGTATGAATGCAAGAAACAGGCTACTGCTCATGAGATGGCAAGTAGCAATCATCTTTATTCCAAAGAGTCTTTTTATAGTCAGTAAGTCATGTACACCATATCAATCAATCATCTATAATTAACATTCCTTATTCTATCCTAACCTTGAAAGGAAACACTGAATCCAGAAAACTGACTTAAAAACAACCATATTATTTTTTTAAGCAGCCATGCAT